TAATGAAACTCTTAATAAAAAAATAAGAAAAAAATCGAATAAGAATTTTTATATATCGAGATAATGAAAATACTGAGACTAGAGTAGATGAAAAAGTAAAGAGATAATTAAAAAAAAGTCAAAATTAAGTTGAAAAAGCGAAACAAAAAACTGTAAATATAAAACTTAAAATTAAAAAAAATAAAAAATGAGAATAAAATTGACATAAAAGCAACTCACCTGCCAGTGCCTCCGTGGCCACAGTCTGCACCGGCGCAAAAGGCCTAAAAACCACCACTTTCGTAAACCCTCCTTGCGCCCCCTTCCTCGCCCCCCTCGTCTTAAAATACAACTCGTATTCCGTCCCCGTCGTCGGCTCACCCCTATACAACCCCTCGAGAAAATCATCCAACGTATATTTGTAGAATTTCTCAGTGATATTCTTATTCAGCGTTTCAATAGCCTTCATAAGACTCTCGAGTAGATCTTTTCGCTTAAAACCGATCGGTTTTTCGACGACTCGTTTGCCCAATCCAAGTTCAATCGGATAAACTCGACTATAAGTGAAGTGGTTGAACGGAATCAGTTCGTATTCGTTGTTTAAGGGGGTGCCGTGGAAGATTTCCGCCGACATCGCTTGTTTTTTGATGAAATTGGCGCAGTCGGTGTTGGACAAAGGGGGCGTTGAGGAGGAGGTGTTGGGGGGGATGTGGAGGGTGAAGGGGTCTTGGTGGGGGGAGTGAGCGCGGGAATTACCTGAAAAAACAAAATTTCCATATTTGGCCTTGAAATATAAAAAATGTAAAATACAGAAATACAACTAAAAAATAAATTTCTGGTTTTTATCGTACTCGAGATAGGCTGTTTACAGACAGACAGACACACACACACACACATGCTATAAGAATAAGGAAAGTAAAAAATAGTCCTTATCCGACTTTCTTAAAATTTTTAATCACATTTTAAAATCTAGAATTTAAACTAAAACAAGATTAAATTAGAAAGCTAGAATTGTTAGACCTCAAAATATCCAAAAAACTAGTACCTTGCTGTGGACGTCTTAAAATGCATATTTCGACACTAAAAATTAAAAAAAWATATTTATGATTCTAGATTTGCTAGAAACAAATGCTTAGTATTRCAAGAAAAAAATTAACTTTATATTCGATTTTCTTGAAATTTTTAATGTTTCTGTAATTTATTCCGTCGGCAAAAAACACAAAAAAATGGTCTTTT